CAGCAGAGGATGTACTCGACCTGCTGGTTCGGATCAGCTACCAGGACATAACAAAAACACTTGTTTGGCCCTCGATGTCTCCACGTGTCGCATGCTGTGAAAGTTCAACACATCCAGCAGACGCACATCTGCATCATCACCCAGTCTGAGCTGCGTTCAGCACATCAGTGTTGACTTTCTGCTCGGGTTCGGACTCCAAAGAAAAACATCTGTCATGTTTACCAAGTATCCACAAAAAAACAGAATGAGCTGGAGCTTTGCAAAAACACTCTGCAGGACACTAAGTGTTATTAATTGGTTATTGAAAGGATACGTGGGAGAAATTTAATGTCAAAGGAAGCCGACAAAGAGATGGAGGCTTTCTTTTGCTGTCTGGATGACTGCACGAGCTTTCGATTTGTCAGAATCTGTGAAAAGGTAGTGAGAGGTACAGCCTCAGTGCCTCTAATCGCAGCTCAAACATGTAAAACCACTCCATGGAAAGCAATCGGGGCATGTCATAAACAACTCTGGCTTTTATGGTTTTCTCCGGAGATGGCGTATTGATTTTTGCAACAATAAACAGCCTCCAGAAAAGTAAAAAACAATTCTTTATCTCTCAGGAAGTCACGAGTTGTGCCTTTTTTGCTCTGTCGAGCAGTTTGACTTTGTTAGGTGACGCTGAGAGTGACAAGAAGGACAGAGGAGGAGGAGACACGTGGCAAAGCCCCAACCACGTCGTCATCACAAGCTGCCGAAGCACCAGGACGCTGCGCGTCACTTTTTGTTAGACGGCAGTGGAAACGCTTCAGCCCGATTTCTTTAAATGCAGCTTTCTGCTTGGACGCCGTCTCACCGGCCTCCCTCGCTTTCCAGGCCCTCCTTCTAAGGTTATCGCTGTCATCATCCCTCATCGAGACGCCCTCCCACCGCGTCACCCGCTCAGGGATAATTGTGAAAAATTAAGCGGGACACACGCAGCTGTGAATAGAAAGCGATTAGCTTAATCAATTTCCCGTACTACACAGCGCACATGCACCCACACGCGTCACACATGCACAAACACTCAGGTTGGTGTCAGGATCCACAAGAGGCAGAAGAATGACAAGGAAAGGAGAGGCAAAGAAAGCCCCCCCACCACCGCCCTCCCAACCCCACGGCGTGTCAGTTTTCCTTCTCAACAGGGACAGGACGTTAGACGAGGTGCAAGCGGCGCTGCGCCATGAATATAAATGGGCCCCGAGTCTCTGTTGTGCCCGTGAGTGCAGCCATAAACTCGAGAGGAGAGCAGCATAGCCTGCAAGCCTCATTCTGCCCGGAGTTTGAGGTTTCACCACGCAGGCTGTGCAGTATGACAGCGCCCTGAGAACTTCTTCTCGCTCGGCGTCGCAGCACAGATCTGCGTTTGAACGTTTAACGGTGACCCGTACGGGTTTTAGAGATTGTCGAGAGAAGGGTTTAGGGATGATGCCCGAGTTAAATCTACCCTCGTCTCTGATGACCTTGGATAGATTGATCTGATATCCTGTAACCTCCTTCCCTCCTCTGCAGTAAATGTTTTACTGTCTGGGATGCTTGTAACCGGCCGTCAATCAGAGCAGTTTCCATTTCAACCCGTTCCCCGTGCGGGCGAACCGACTGGCGTTTCTGTTTTATGTCTTCTTCTTTTTCTTTTTTTTGGGGGGTCTGCTCTCTCAATCATCATTCTCCTCTTCCCGTCTTCCTCCCCTCCCTCGCCTCTCGCTTTGCAGAGACGTGAAGATGGGTGAGGTTTTGTGTCTTTAACATTTGATTAAGCAGATCGGCTCCGAGCGTGAGATGGGAGATCCGGACAGCTGACAAATCAGCCCGTGTCTGTGTGATACCAACCCGGAGGTTGTTTGTCAGTCTGCCCGCAGGCTGCAGGCTGCAAGCATGCGAGGCTTGCGTGACGATATAATTTAGCTCTGCAGTTGAAGAGCTCAGTAACTCAAGGCTACAGGAATGGTTGTTAAACTGGTGTTTGTGTAGCTGCTGTTGCTTTTCTCGCTGTCAGTCTCTGCGCTCACTGAGATCCAGCGCTGCGAAGGATGACGGCGTTCGTTGCTTTTAATATTGTTTCAATTATAAAAAGAGCAACAATGCTGCATCCATTTTAATTACCATACTCAGGCTGGTCCAGGCACAGCATCAGCACAGGGGAAGAGATTTCTTCACTCACTGGTTGATGTTTTATCAGCTGATAATCAACTGCTTCACATACTTAAGTGCTGCTGGCCAGGCCTCTCCTTACTCGGCTGCTAAAGCCTCATTCACACAGGCCTCATGGGGTCAACAGCTGCTTTCTGCAGGGTTCATCCCCATGATAACCCCTGGAAAACATGTGGATTCCACAACTGGTTTCTGACTCCAGCATCTTTCTTTGGTTGCTGCTATGTTGCTGTGGGGGTCAGTAGTTTGCTTGGAAGACGCCAATTTGCCCGCAAACACTTCGCAACAGTAGAAATGAACTTTGCATTTCAGTCTTAGACTCTTTAGAAAAGCTTTGCATGATTCACAATTAAAAATGATATTACCAGCTGTCACCCTCTTGTCTGACTGTGTGCCTTACATGACCACAGATTCATATAAGAACCTTCCCTGTAATGTTTGAAGTCATTACAGCTGCTCGGTGCTGCTGTAAGGTTCGTTCAGTGTCTGCTAACATGAAGGCTGATCCTCCCTGACAACCTGTAACTGATAGTGTTTAATAAGTCAGACATATTTGCTGCTGAGCGTGTTTTTGGTGCAGCCGGCAGAGGGACGATCATAGTAAAAACCCCTCGTAACCATTTATTGAGTTAGGCAAGGTCCTCACGTGTGTTGAAGGGCAGGTGTGTGTGTGATGTAGTGAGATTGCATCATGTTGTGCGATGGGCTGAGGATCCTCCGGTTGGTTTCTGGTGCGCATGTACGTACAGGCTGTCTGTACTGGACTCACATACACGCACCCAATTACTGAAACTGGGATATGGTTGGTATAACATAATGAACAGCCATTTTTCACCTGCCTAACTGCTGCTGCACTGTCACACACTCTCACCACCCCCCGCTCCCACTCTGCTCTCACTGCAGGAAAAACAGACTTTTACCTCCACCTGTGGACCTGCGATTTTACAACAAATAACCACGATTAACCGAAGAAGTTTCATCCTCACTTCAACATCGCATGAATCTTAGGTTTGATTCAAAATAAATGAATTCTTGGAGCGTTTACTTCTATAGGCGGTGTAAATGAAAACTCTTTAATTGCACAAAAGCCCACGAGGACACATAAGACCCAAATTTAGAGCCTGATAAATAAGAGGACATCTGCAAACTATGAAAAGGGACATAAAGCAGACTCATTTTCTTCCTAATGGATCTCAAACCAAAGTAACTGCGTGCCAAAGTGGAAATTATGCCCACTTCTTATCTAATCCCTATTAAACTGGTTAATTTTAGAAGCCAGAATTCTTAAATGAGTATATTTTCTGGTCTGGACGTGTGTGGCTGTGTGTGCATTTAAACGACAGGCATCATTTCCAGGTTTGAAAAGTGAAGCCAGTGGGGAAGTGGCTTAAATGTGCATTCCTTGTGGCAGCCAGCAGAGGGCGTCTCCTCAGGCTTGGATTGTGTAGAAGTCTATGGAAAAAACAGGCTTTTGTTCCCGTGATCTATAAGCTCATTAAAACCTTTGCCGTTGAGTTTATGTGACCTCGTCCTCTGTTTTCTTATCTAATTCAGCGTAGTGTTTCTTTTGTAAATCCCGATCGCATCACGCATGCAGTGAAAGTGTCTCGGTCACACAAACACATTTTCTGACACAGACAAACATGCTGTAGTCTGAGTCTGGCCCCTGTACAGGAAACACTGTTCGACAGGTTTCTGTAGGCGTTTAATAACCTGGGTGAGCCTTAAAAACAGATTAAAGTCAGTCTGTGTCACCAGCCATCCTTCGTGGCTGTGGTGTCCGGACAGCAGCAGCCTCGGCTCTCAAAGAAGTCGTGTCCAGCTCGGCAGAACGTCCCCGCGGATTCCCCCCCTCACCGTCGCCTCTCATTTAAACTGCCTCCCTTCCTCTGACCTCTTCATCGTTAAAGCCCCTTTTTCATATTCACTTTCTGTCCACGCATTAAATTAAAACGACTTGAGTCGTGTTTAAGGCCTGTGACAGAAGAATCTGTTACTCTGAGATAAAGAGACGTCCGTCAGTTATTCACTCAGGGATGGATAATGTGGCCGTTTGTTCCGGATGGATTCCTGCCTGTGTGTTGAGTTCCTGCTGCAGACATGCGTCTTGACACTATTACATTGTGGAGCTGATGGTGTTAGTGATCCTGGGGCACATGTCAGATAAAATATAGTTTGTTCCATGTTTGTTTTATCAGCAGCATTGTTTTCCTTGTATTTATTGGTCTGAGTGGGACAAATTTTCTTGGCTAACTTCTGAATAAATCTCTAATTTCGAGCCACAAGATTTGATTCGAAGGCGCCGCGTCCTCCTGGAGCCAAAACGGTAGAACGAATCCTTCGGTAATTGGAGCAAGCACACATTTTCTCACATCCTGTGAAGTCACTCTTCAGTGGCAGTTCAATTTCCCCTGCAGCAGTGGTATCTCAAGTCCGGCGGGCATGTATCAAAAGGCCCTCTCAGCTGCTCTAACTGTTTACAATGACGCATCGATCCACTCTGCTTAATCCCCCCCTCCCAGCAGCTCGGTGAGTTAAAGCAACAGTTACTGCCACCTACAAGAGGCGGAAAAAGCCCCGCGCAGCGTGTCGTCTGATCCCTCTGACAAGGATGCTGTCGAGTACCCCCTCTGATCTGATCCCCTCTGCGCTCTGATAATTCTGCTATTGACCCAAAGCAGAAAGCAGCAGGAGGAAACTCTGCTCAACAAAACTACAAACAAAACTACTCCAAAGAAGCAGAAAGCATTTCCATACTTAACCAGGAGTAACTGCAAGCTGGTCGGAGCACGCCGGTGCTTAAATAATGCGATCGATGAAGGTGATCTTACCTGTGTTGGCAATCCACATCCAGCCCTGGCTCGTCACCACTCATGCCGTGTGTGCAGCTTCAGCCGTCCTGTTCCCAGTTTTCTTTTTTCCCCCTCCTTCTCCTCCTCTCCTTTCTCTCCCCTTTGGCCCTCGTCTTCTCCTCCTCCTCCCTCCTTCGTATCTCCCTCCCCCTTTCGCTCTTCCTCTCCCTGCACTTGTTTGAGTCTATTTCAGTAGCAGCAACAGAGGAGCCCGCTGCGACGGTGGCATGGTTTCCAGCACTTTGGCAGAAGGTCACATTATCACTCGCTGGTAAAAGGGAGGGGGGGGGGGAGAAGAGGAGCAGGAGGAGGATAGATGGAGTGACGGAGGGAGATCAAGGTGAACAGGTGCCAGAGGAGGAAAAGGAGAAGCAAAGCAAGTTGATATAATCTCAGCCGTCCACGGATGCGCTTTTGGTTTAGTTTTCCAACTTGTTGACAGGGACACCTCTGAAGACTGTTTTCAGGTAATGTGTCCCAGGAGGAGAAACTGAGGAGGAATTTAGGAGAAACCCGCGAGTGTGTGAAGCAGTAGCCTTTTTAAAGTCTTCACCAGCCGCGCACCTCTGGGGGAAAGATAATTCCTCTCTTGGCTGGAAAGTGAGTCTCTGGGAAAAAGAAAAAACTAACAAAGCTGCCAGAAACTTGCGCCAAAAGAAATCCTCAACCTTCAGCTCGTCACCCGCGTCCTTGATCGTCACTGCCCGGTTCGTGAAGACGCAGATCTTCTCCGTCTCTGACACCTGTCCGCATCGTGTGTCCCCATCTATCGCAGGTCCTGCAGGGTGACCCTTCTCTTCATTTCCCAGACTCCCTCCTTCGTCCTCCTCTGGTGCGAGCGGTACTTTTACTGCCACTCCATCAAAATAAGGCTCTGAGAAATGATCCAGCTGCCCGGGACGAGGCCGTCGGCGGCCGGCGACAGATGGCCGGAACAGAGGTGCAGATGCAAACTGCTGGAGTTTGGAAATTCTTGGATCTTCCTCGTGACCTTTCTCCAAGCACACCTTGCTTGCTCTAGCCTTCAGTTGGCTGCACTTGTTGTCCTGTATGCCTTGTTGTTTTTTGGGCTGTTCCTACCTGTGCCCCTCCTTCGCCCATCAGCAGAGCTTTCACTCTGGCTTCTCTGGCCGGCTGTAATCCTGACTCCTACACTCCATGTCACAGGAAGGGCTTGTGAGCTCTAATCATTATGTAGTAAGGATTTATCCTCTCGCTCTCCCTCCCGTCTCTCTCTTCCCTTCCCTCCACCCCTCCCGTTTATTTCCCTCCCTCTGCTCTTTGAGTACTGGCTGCCCTACAACTCTACAACATCCCCCCTTTTTCAACCACCACAGATTAATGCATCATCTCTCCTCACGCTTCCCTGGGACCCATTCGTTTGTCAACTCATTCATTTTTATTTTTTGCCTTCCCACCCGCTCGCTCGCTCCCCGTCTTGCCTCCTGCCGCAGATCGCATCAACAGGTTTGCCCTTGAAATATTCTCTGGGACAGGCGGAGTCACTGCCCACCGTTTCCTTCCCATCAGGAATGTGCTCATCCCTTAAACTATAAGCTTTTTATCAGTGCACGCAGAGAACGCATCGATGGCAGTGTGTGCACATTTACAGTCTTTATATACTCTAACATAAATGTTGTACAATGTTCAAGTACACATCAGAGCCTGGCTCATTTTACTCCATCTAAGATGGGCTATGAACACACACACACACACACACACACACACACACACACACACACACACACACACACACACACAGTAGTGTAGTACTGTACAGAAATTTCCATTTGTTCGAGGTAATTTATACGCAGTGTTGTTGTAATGCGCTTTATCCACCAGGGAGCACTAACACATTTGTCCTGCTCAGTATGTATAACAAAGCCAAAGTGTGTGGACACCCCGGCATTACAGAGGCAGTAATCTGCTGCTGTCACAGCTTCACCCTGGATGAAGCCAGGGCTTTGTGTGGGTTTTCCTCACAGAAACCTTTTCCTTTATGGAGACACACTTTTCACACCGTTAAACTGGACCCTCCGAATCCCAGAATAATGTCAGGTTAGCTACATTTCTGGATGTAAAGCATGCCTTGTAGCAGTGGTTCTCAAACTGTGGGGTGAGTCCCACTGGTGCATGAACCTGATGTTAACCTGTAACTTTGATGCTGACGTGAATCTTTAAGTCAAATTCTTTTCTGCCTCCTGAAGTGGGGCATGTCCGAACCACTGGGTGTGTATGAGAATCCACTTACAAGTTATTGGTCTGAGTGGGACCTTGTTCAGCTCAGCGAACCGGTTCTTCGCACACTTCATGCTTCAGCGTAACCTTCAGGTTCATAAGTGGAGCAGAATAACCGCAGGACGAGATCTGGGCCACGCCAGCTATTGGGCTGAGACGGGAGAAGCAGAAAACAAACTTTATTAAGAAAATTAAATAAATAAATAGAGTGCTAAAATAAATCCCAAACATACTTGCTGTTAACGTACCTGTTTGATGTGTGGGAAACAAGTAGCTTCTCCAGGTATACAGTGATGTTTCGCTCAGTATACTTTAAATATGCCTCATTTTTTCATGTCCGTTTAACAACAAGATAAAAAAATATCCTTTGGAAATATGTTTGTAATTTATTTATTATTTAAATTAACACGTTTTGCAAATTTATATGACTTTGAGGTTACTTTTGTCCGTCTTTGAGCTGGAAGTCGTGCCTCCTATCTTTCTTTGAACGATGCATTTTTCACAATGCTGTTGTTTGGAAATAATTTAGATTTTTATATCTTGTCTCTTAGAATAGAATAGAATAGAATAATCCTTTAATTGTCCCACAAGGTGAAATTTGGTTGCAACAGCAGCCAGAAAGACACATATACAACAAACAAATCTTGTCTCTTGTAAAGTTAGATATATTTTCCATCCATCCATCCTCTTTCCGCAGGGTCGCAGTGAGGTTGGAGCCTGTCTCAGCTGTCACAAGGTGAAATGCAGGGTCAACCTATCACAGGCAGCTAAGAATCACCAGCTAACCTCACATGCATGGGTTCAGACGGGGCTGTCCGGAGAGAACCCGCGCACACGCTGACTGACTTTCAGCATTTAGCTGAGATTTATCATCTGTTTTCACTCCCTGCTTGCAGAGCAGCAGGTCGATACTGTGCTGAGAGAGACGCAAACTGAGGGGATGGCTGCATGTGAGAATCTGTGTCTCTTCGAGGCGAGCATCTGCAGGCTGTGGACGCTGTGGCGAGAGCGTAGTCTGTTGGCGAGGGAGGGAGGAGCGCTTGATGCACGTGTTCGGAGAGTTACGTTCCCCTCCTGATGCTTGCTGTAATGCTCACACTAAAACGCTAAAATGACCCCCCACACTGGGAAAGGTCCCGGTGCTCCCCGTGGGCAGTCTGCCAGCATGTTGAAATTGATCATTCCTGTTACGAAATGATTTTTGCACGTTTGACCTGATTCCACAGCTGATGTGAAAATACAGCTGCAGCTTTGACCTTGGTTGACCTTGGCCATCTCCCAGCAAACATGTTTCACTCCTCTGACCTCAGAGGCTCAGCGTTGTTGTGTCGAGTCTGCAGGAACTGCAAAGTAGAAATCTTTGAAAGGTCACGCTGGTGTTCTGGACATGAAACGGCACCGAGACAAACTTGACTTTAACAGACCGGCGCAGGCTGTCTGCAGGTGACTCATACTTGTCTCGAACGCACCACAAACACGCCGCCTGAAGCTGTTTTAGCTCCACGTTACTGATTTGATCAGGACACCAGCCCCCCCTAGAGTTCAGAGAGGAGAAATGCACCTGCTGATTTGCACGTGAAATTGCTGCTCAGAAACACTCTTACCTGTGAACTGCGCTGCACTTTGCCCTGTGTTTAAATATTTCAGCGTCTCAACCTGCACCCCACTTTCTCAGCCCCGAGCTGACTGTGAATGAGCTCAGAATCATTTTGATGACACACGTTTACGCACTTCCAGGTCACATTTGCATATATTACATTGCCGAGCTGCAAACAATCTCCATCACAAAGGCAATTGCAAACTGCTGTGGCACGCACAAGCCATTAATCTTAATTTCTTCCCTTGTGGATGAATCCTTGGAAAAATGAATCCTTTTTCTCGGGCAGAAGGACATCAGTCGGATTTTATGAGCCTGTCAGGGCGGCACTGAGAGATGTGCCGGCGAGGCAGTGTTTGTTTCTCTGCGTACGATGCTGGAGGCTGAGCCCGCGACCCCGATCGATCACCGGACGATAATAAATATCCACGAATCCCCAGTTTGTAATCAAGAGCTCACAGGCTTTCCTCCATTGATATTTGATCAATAAGGCGAACAGATGGGACTGTAAAGCAACAACGAGGTGTTGGGTTGTTGCTGAGCAGGAAGTGTTACCTGCCCGACGCAGGTACACCTTTTATTGTTTATTTTTAGTTTCTCTTTTCTCCATCAAAAGAAGCAGAAAACAAACCTGAGACTTTCTTTAATCTACAGTCAGAACTTTTCTGTTTGTTGTTTTGAGCAAATAATTGCTCAGCACTCAGGATGATTTTGACCTTCATACCACAGGTGATCTCAAGTTTGACCTTGACTTTTAGTTTGAGGTCAAGTTTTGTGATTTTTATATTTATGCTGTTCATGCATCTGCTAAGAGGGAAGCCCTGGTGGCCTCCAGTATTTTCAGGAATAGGAAACACGTGTTAAGTTTCTTGTTTGACTGCTCCTGATTTATTATTTTTTTTAAACTACATGACTACATTGTTTTTATGTAGGACGATGACGCGCTGTTAAAGCACGTGTTAAAGGTTTGTACACTCTGACTGTGCGTGTGGCTCATCATCCACGCTCCAGGTTTTTTTGCCTCACACTTCCACTCGTCATCTTCCTGAACCGTCGGTTCTGTCCTTTTCCGTGCTTGTTCATAGAGGCTCACCTGACTGTTGGGGTGTCTCTGTATTATTGTAAGGTTGTACCTTATAGTATAAAGCACCTTGTTGCTGTGATTTGGTGCTTTGTATACATAAAACTTCCAGATATTCCACCCACTGGCTGGTGAAGTCTCCTTTTTAAACCTCTAACTGAGCTATTTTCTGAATTGCCATTGGCCAAACAGTGATTTCTGACTCTAATAATGACGATGATTTACCGAATCGAAAGTGTTTACCGAGGTCACAGACGAGGAGAGCTGAGCGCCGTGCATCTGCTGGCTATTCAGAAGCCTGCAGGTTAAGGTGCTTCCACTTTGGCTTCGCCCTTCAGGCACAGATGCTATGTCAGTCTTTTATACCAACCAACGGATTTTCTGATTTGGAAGCATAAGAAATGGATCTGATTTCAGAGCATCAGTTCAAATGACTTCAGCGAACTCTTTGATGAGCCTGATCTGTTCAGGCGGACACACTCTGTTGCTGTAGGCTGGCATTCGTGTAAACTGTAAGGCTTTGGCCGAGCAGGTGGGCTGAGCGAGGAGGAAGTAACACATGTCGGGGCAGCAGCAGAGGGAAAGGCAGACATATGCTCTTTCTCTGTGGCCTGGCCTTCCTGCTTCACCGGACAATATGGCAGCGAATCACAGCTGACCCAAAATAATATTTCCTCACAAACGGCAAACCAAACGTCATCTCGGGCGTCACCGTGGCATTTAGAAAGAGCCTCTGCTTTTCTTCCTGGCAGCGCTCGGAGATATTTTCAGATGAGTCTGAGGTGAGGACAAAGAGTAAGGTAGAAGGTAAAAGGCCACACTCGGCTGCTGTGGATCCCACGAGGGGGCGCACATTTATCCCACCTGTGACCGACACCAGCTCGACTTGTTTATGAGACTCCTGAATGAAAACGTTTCTGTAACGGCGCTGTTAACAGTGATGTCCCAGACTCATTTACTTTTGAGCCTGTGCTCTTTACACCAGCCAGTGGCCTGACTCCTGCAGCCTCAGCCGGCACGACGAGCTGCTCCCAAAGTCCGCTGGGTGTCTCGAGGCTGTTTGGCGTTTCCGTCCAGCAGCCAGCGGCGCTTCACTCGGGCCCAGAGAGCCCGGACGCAACCTGTCAAGCCGTTAAGCGTCTGTTCTCCCCAGAAGCTCGTGCCAAGCTGAGACCGGTCACCTGATGGATGATGCAGTGACTGTAAACAGGTCAACATCACTGCTCAGGCCACTCGCCACCAAAGAACAGGAAACAAACATGGATGCAGAAAATGACTTCCTGCTGCACGTTTATGGAGCGTG